TTTCTTTCTACTTACTCTGGATTTATTCTATTGTTATTTTTTTTAACTGCTTGAATGTTTTCCAATAAATATGTTTAAGGCTATAAATTTCCCCCAAGTGTGTGTCTTCAGCTGTGTCCCAGAGTTTTGAAGTTTATCTCATTTTTTTTAACATACTTTCTTATTGCTTTCTCATATTATTGCAGTGTCATCAGATAACACAGTCTGTAGAATGTCAACAATTTGAAATATGTTGAGAGTTGCTTTGTAGCCTAATGCAGAGTCTGTTTAAAAAAAAATTTTTAATGTTCCCTGTATGATAGGAACAAAGCATATATTCTCAGTTTGTTCATTAAAGCATATATGTTTGAATCCTAGCTCTGTGATGTATTCACTGTACAACCTCAGGCAAGTTACATATCCTCTCCTGCCTCAGTTTCATTACCATTAAAATGGGATGAAAGTGTCCACCTCATAAAGTCGATGGTGTAGCACATACAAACACCATATAAATGTTAGTAGCTATTAGTTCCCTTTTTAGCTATTAGGTTTACCTTATTAATGTTGTTGTTCAAATCTTCCTCATGCTGTCCTCATCATTTTGTCTGCTTGACGTATCAGTTTCTGAGAGATGTGTGTTAAAATCTGCTGTGATTATAAATTTCCCCATTTTGCCACAATTATGAACATTTTGCCTTACATGTTTAGGCATTGTTAGATGTTAGGTTCATTGTTAGAGTACTTTAGTGAACAGTTTTTTTTAATCAGGATATATCTCCATGTTGAACTTAGCCAATTCACGTTTGCCATGATTACTGGTATCATTAGAATTGTTTTTGCCAGCATATTTTGTACTTTCTATTTACCAGGATTTCTTTGTAACCTTCAATTTTCCTTTTCAACCCTGAACCTAATTAATTATACATCATTTCTGTATTTATATTGTAGTACTATGTATGCTATTCTAATTTGTTGTTATTGGTCATTCACCATGCAATTTCCCCAGGTTTATACAGAACATGTATTTATAGCAGGTGTCTCACAAAGATATTTGCCTAGATATGATATTTGCTGCTGGGCTTTGTGGGAACTGGAGATCTCTGAGACATTTTAATTGCCCCAAATACCTGAAACTAGGAGGCAAAAGTGGACATTTTAGGTTCACACGGAGGTTGTAATCTGATTGGTTACATCATTTTTGAAAGTGCACAACAATGGACCACATTTGCTGGGACCTGTGACTAGTGGACATCAAGCAGCTGGACTTCAGTTTCCAGTTACATACAGTAAAGAGAGGATTCAGGCTATGAAAAATAGCTGTGCTGAAAGTTGTCAGTTACTGGCTGTAGGATTTATAACATTTTTAAAAAAACTATATCTGGGATTACTTTTGCGTTTATTTATAATCTAGGAAGGGAGACAGAAAATGCTCCTGTAACTAACGTAAGGCAGAAAAACTGTGGTCTGTTTTGCCTACTGCTGTGTTCCTAGAACAGTGCCTGGTACATAGAAAGTGATCCATAAACATTTGTGAGAAAATTATGGTACCAAAAAAATTCTTATGGGAACTTCAAGAGGAGAGAGGGTAATTGCAACAAAAGAGATTGTGAAGTCTTCATGAGAAAATAACCTTTGAACAGGGCCTTAGAGGAATCTGGAGATTAAAGGGTGAATCACTTAGGGTTTGCTCAGAGAAGCAAACTACTACACATGATATAGGATATGAGAGTAAATTTAAGAACAGACGTGGCATAATTGTGGGAGCCAGTTAAACATTTTATGTTCAACGGTTGCTTCTTTATCTGGTGGTGGGCCCCAAGTCGACAGGGCAGGCCATCGGAAGGAAAGGACAGGAGTGAATGACCGCAGCCCGTGAGGCTAAGCTTGGACCATGTCAGTGTCTGAGGTCAACAAGAATCCAACTTTGATGATACAGGTAACTTATAGAAGAATCTGGTGACCTTCTCCACGGAGCTGAACATGCACCTGCCCAGGGTAGGGAGAAGCCTAAGGAGGAACCCCAAAACTGCCAAGGCCAGCAAGGTGAGAGAGCAAATCAACACCACCATGTGTGAGCTGCAGCAGCACCCAGGGCACAGCATCCAACATCCAGTCATAAAAAGGAAATGACTGCTGCTTTACCTGTCTTCCAAATTTTGTGCAAAGTCACATGGCCCAGCAGTATGCAGGGAAGGAAATCTCTGAAAATTTAGTTCTGGCCTGGTTGAGTCAACACAGAACACATCCACCCCAGAGGGAAAGACAAGGGCTTAGGTAATGGCTGCGAGAGGCAGATCCAACTCTTACCCTCTCACAGACCATCACTGCTGAGTGCCCCTGGGCAGAGCCTCCTGGCTCAGGTGGGCAGTGGATTTCCTGACTGCTGCCACCAAACTGACTCCCTGGAAGTGACGGGCCCAGCATCACACGGTATTCTGCATTTAGAGGCAATACACAAATCCAACAGAACTTAAACTCATGAATCATAAAGGCACAAAGGGCTCCTGAGTGCAGGCAGCATGAAAACACCCAAGCTTTGGCCTATAGCCACCTCTACACCCCACTCTCCACCATGTACCCAGAGGATTGCGCATGAAAATGCAGTCAATCCCAGGACCTGACTCCATGGGATGGCGGGTGGGTGTAGGGCAAGAATGGGAGACAATGACCCTCCTGCCATCTTGGAGTGGCCTGTGACTTATTTGGGTTTATTCATTCAGTGTTTACTAAATGCTCCCCATGTCCCCCACACTGTTCTAGGCATCAGGGAAATAAGTGAACAGAGCAGAGTCCTTGGCCACATTAAGCTTACCTTCCAATGAGGGAAACAGGTAAGAAAAAAGTAGACAAGTAATGTCAGGTTGTGATATGTACTTTGGAGAAAACATACAGCAAGGTTGGGAAAAGAGTAAGAGGTGGTATTTTAGAGAAGGTGTCCAGGGAACAACAATCTTAGGGAATGTTAACCTGAGGACTTGCTATGTACCTAATACTGTTCTAAGGACATTACATATATTGCTTCATTTAATCCTCAGAACAACCTAAGAATTTTCCCAAGTTATCATTAATAAGTAGAAGGACTAGGATTTTAAACACAGGCAATCTGGTACCAGAGCCCAAGCTTTAAACCAGGGAAGGTCTCTTGGTTGCAGTGAGTGAAGTGAGGGAGCAAGGAAGGCAAATATCAGAGGGAAGAGTGTTTCAGGCAGAGGGAACAGCCAGTGCAAAGGCCCTGGGGCAGGTGTTTGGAGGAGTAAAACCAAGAGTTCAATTCTGGGGCCGGCCCGGTGGCACACTGCTACAGTGGGCCGCTTGGGAGCATGGCGGCGCTCCCGCCAAGGGTTTGGATCCCACATACAGACCGGTTCCCGCTCACTGGCTGAGCGAGGCGCGGGCACAACACCGAGGGTTGCGATCCTGTTGCCGGTCCCAGTCCGGTACGGGCGCGACACTGAGGGTTGCGATCTGTTGCCGGACAAGAAAAAAGACAAAAAGGAAAAAAATAAATAAATAAATAAAGAGTTCAATTCTGGACATGTTTAAGTTTGAGAAGCTTATTAATTATTGAGTGATGTCTGGAGGGCAGTTGGATATACAAGTTAAAGCTTTGGGGGAAAGCTTGGAAATAGAGAGATACATTTGTTTGTCATCAGTATCCATGTGACATGTAATGCCACGGGACTAGATGAGACTCTAGGGAGTGAGAGAGAAAAGAGAAGTCCAAGGACTGAGGCTGGGGCAGGAGAGGAGGAAGCTTTAGCAGAGGAGACTAAAGAGGAGCTGCTGGTGGGGAAGGAGAAAACCCAGGAGAGAGGGCTACATGGAAGCTGAGGGAGAGAGTGCTTCAAGAAGGAAGAAGTGAACGGATAGTTCTGATTCTGCTGAGAGTCCAGTTAGCTGAGGCCTGAGAATTGACCATTGGATTTGACAACATGGAGGTCATCATTGGCCTTAACATCGGTGGCCTTTTGTAGATGTTACAGTACATGGAAAAGCAACCAAAGCTGTTTGTTTCAGGTCAAGTGGAGAAGGGAGCCTAAGGCCTAACCCTCCAGCCTTAGCTCTGCCTCTTTCCACCCACTAAGCCCCTGAGATACCTCCTAGGGTGTCTGGGACACAGTTTGAAAACCACAGATTAAAGTCAACCCCTTTGTTTTAACAGTTGATGAAGCTCAGGTCCAGAAAAGGAAAAACACTAGCTCGAGGCCATGCAACTAGTTAGTGAAAAACCCAGGTTGAAATTTATCATTATTTAATGAGATTTAACAATAAACCAACCTGTTCCTAGCCTGTCTTATCATATTGTTTTCCATGGACAGTGGTTACTGTGACAAGCAGGGAAATCTTTATAAGGTCTTCCTTACTTTCATATCTGTTGAACAATTTCAATTCATAAAAAATTCAGAAGCTTCACTGTTAATAGTTTATATGTTGTCTTCCCATACCCCATTTCTCAATGCTTCTGGTCATTCAGCAAGTTACATGTTTTCTGATCCTACATAATGAGATGTAGTAGAGTATAGCCTATAAAATGGGCATAATAATAATAAGAACAATAGCTCACATTTGCTGACCACTGGCGGTGTGCTGTCAACATTCTCTGATCCTCACAACAGCCCCGTGAAGCAGGCCTAACAAGAACCACTCTTTGTGGGTTATGCACGGGATTGTATCATGAAGTGGTTAAGAGTTCAGGCCCCAAGTCAGGTTGCTTGATAGCTTATCCCATTTCCACTACAGACTGATGGTGAGACCCTGGACAAGTTACTTACTCTCTCCATGCTTTAGTTTTGTTAGCTGTGTGAAATGCTTTGCAGACTGAAAAACAGGATCCAAGGATAAGAGCTGACATTGACCATAAGCCAGGCACTGATGTAGGCACTTCATCATCCCAGGCCTGCCAGTTGGGTGCTGGTAGTGGATTGCCGGGGGCTCTTTCTCCTCTGTTCTCTGGTTTGAATAAGCCCAGGTTGTATCAGGGAAATGTCTTTAATCTCCTCTTGCAATTGTCTTTGCCTTAGGATCTGTGCTCGAAGCTGAATGAACCTTTTCGGACACTGCCCAGAGAAGAGTATAAAGATAAATTAGCAGCTGAAGAAGGAACCAGCAGCGACGAAGAAGAAAGGTACAGGGGGACATGCAGACTTCCAAGGGCTCGAATGAATGAGGACTGAGATTTGGAAAGATTCATTCATTCATTCATTCTGTCCTCAAGTATTTATTGCTGCCCCTTGCATCATGCTTAGGGAGGGAACAGACATATCTTGTACATCTTCAGCACAGCTATGGGCTTTACATAAACTATCTTATTTAATTGTCATACCAACCCAGAGAGGCCATTTTATAGTTTAAGAACCTGAAACTCAAAGAGATTAGCAAACCTGCCCAAGATTCAGACCTGGACTGGCCTGAAACCTCTGCTTCAAAATGTTCTTTAATTAGTGGAGATGGGGGGCTTTATTACCCAGGGGAAATTCCCATCTGTATTACCTATATTAGTTATTGCTGCTGTAACAAATACCCCCCAATAGCAGTAATCTTTAGCTCATAGGTGAGCAACCTTTATGCTTGTCTCTGCTGGGCTTATATGAGTTCAGCCTCTCACTGAGAGTGAGGTGTTATTGCTCTCCCACAAACTAGAGTTCAAGTCTGCTCCACCTGCCTTCTCATGTTGATACCCAAGCTGAAGGATTAGCCCCTATCTAGGGTATGTTGTCATGGTAAAGGGATGAAGTTCAAAAAGGCTGAAGTAAACATGCAGTGCCTCTGAAAGCCAACATTCAGAACTGCACTTTCTCATTTCTACTCACATTCCAGAAGCCAGAGCAAGTCACAGGACCAAAACTATCAGTGGGCAGAGAAGAATATGCTGTCTGTGTTTTCATCAGCTTGAGCTGCTATGACAAAATAGCATAGACTGGGTGACTTAGACAATGGAAATTTATTTCTTACAGTTCTGGAGGTTGGGAAGTCCAAGATCAAGGTGCCAGCCAGTCCGGTTCCTGGCGAGGGCTCTCTTCCTGGCTTGCAGATGTCCATCTTCTCAGTGTGTCCTCACACAGTCACATGGAAAGGGAGAGAGAGATCTCCTTTAAGGGCAGTAATCCCATCGTGAAGCCTTTACCCTCATGACCTAATTCCCTCCCAAAGGCTCCATCTACAAATATCATCAAATTGGTAGTTAGGGCTTCAACATAAGAATTTTGCAAGACACAATTCAGTCTATAGCATAGCCAGAAGAGTCAGGAGAATAGAAGAGTGAATATTTGCTGAGCAAATACAACATGCAGCAGTCTGTTACACCACCTCTAGGATTTTGATACAGTTGTTCTAGGGTATGTCACAGACGTGTATTTTGAGGAAGCTTCCTAGGTGATTCTGAGGACAGTACAGTTCTGATCCACTGCCCTGCACTAATGAATGACTGTGTGGGTCCTGAAAGATGGCATGTAAGCTTCTGCCATCTGGCAGCTCTCTAAGCAGTTGGGGAAGCAGGGCTGCATACAGTGAACTCTACAGCTCATAATGCTTCCACAGCATCCTCCAGCTCCTGTCTCAGTATCTGTGAGGCAGATGAGCAAAACAGTTAGTGAGGACAGACTCCGGAGTCGGCCTCCAGAAAAATCTCCATTCTACCACTTAATCACTGGCGGTCCTGTTTAGAACTCATGATCCAAGAGGGAAAGAAGGAATCTCTTTCCTGAAAACACTGGTGGTAATTTCAAAAAGGCTTCCAATGGGTCCAGCCTTGGTCACAAGTCCATCCTTGCCAAACATTCTGGCAAAGGAGATAGAGTGCTCTGATGGACCAGGCATGTGTCATATGCCCTTTCCTGGGGCCAGCTGAGGATGAGGGCAGAGTCAGTTGCACCCAAACCCCATAGACTAAATAGGATCACCATGGAAAAAGGAAAGACTTCCCCAAGAAGATGCTGGGCAGACCAACAGCATGTGGTGAATACAACAGCCTTTTTTTTTTTATTCCTTCCATAGTGGCTATATCAGTAAGGAGGAAGTCCCCAACTCAAGAAAATAAGAGAGGGGGCTCGGGAGGCTGCTCCCGTGAGTGGTGATTCTGGGTGGAAAGACTAAGCAGTGCATTATTATTTATAATAATAATAATAATAAATATTCATTAAATGTCAGAGTGTGATAAGCACATTAAAAAGATTAACCCATGTAATCTTCATTAGATAAATACTATTATTAAAGTAATTCACTTTAAAGATTAGGGAAACTGAGGGATAGAGAGATTAAGTAACTTGCTCAAATTTATACTGCCAATAGATGGCACAGTCTAGATGATAGTCTCTCTGGTTCCAGAACTCACACTTTTAGCTACATCTCAACTTAGGGCAGCTGTTCTCATTTGTAACATGAAGGTTGACAGATTTTCTACTCTTTCAGGGTTACTTGATCCTTTAACAGTCAATAATAAGAACTAAAACTTTCACTTTTGGCCATGATAGAGTAATCAGATTTGCCCTCTTTCTGTAGACTATAAAACTGGAGAAAATTTTTGAGGCTATTCTTTTGAGTAATGGGTCACTAGTCAGAGAAGGACTATGATCTTGAGTAAGGAAACACACATCGAATCCCACAATCACATCGCTTCTCAGCCTTTTGGCTAAGATCAAGTGAATCCCACAATCACTCCACAGTTGCCCCAACTGCCTACCTGGGGACAGTTGCCAACCACAGCATGAGCAAGTGGAGCCAAGCTGACCTGAGGAAGCAGGTATCAGAGTTCAAGGTTGCTAAAGCAAGTGGAATTTGTTTGTTTGTTTGTTTTTTGTCCTTTTTGAGACCGGCCACACTGTGCTCAGCCAGTGAGTGCTGTGAGTGCACTGGTCATCCCTATATAGGATCCGAACCTGTGGCAGGAGTGCTGCAGTGCTCCCAGCACCGCACTCTCCCGAGTGCGCCACGGGTTTGGTCCAAGCAAGTGGAATTTGTTTGTTTGTTTGTTCTTTGTCCTTTTTGAGACCGGCCACACTGTGCTCAGCCAGTGAGTGCTGTGAGTGCACTGGTCATCCCTATATAGGATCCGAACCTGTGGCAGGAGTGCTGCAGTGCTCCCAGCACCGCACTCTCCCGAGTGCGCCACGGGTTTGGCCCAAGCAAGTGGAATTTGTAAGGTAGGGCACCAAAAGAGAGGATCCCATGTAGGGGGAGGGTGGGCAGAGATTTACATGAGGGTTTTCCATAGGGCCTTGGCCAAGGGCTTGACTGTGCGTGTACAGGATGACTCCATGAGGCCTGCAAGTATGCTGATGCCATGGAGCTGAGAAAATGAAAATACCAGAAGAAATTGGAGTTCCACTCATCCAGGACAGAAAAGCCTTTCTGAGCACTGTGGGTATTCCATTGAGACCTCAAAAGATCAGACCTTAGGAGTAACAAACATACCCTATAAGATAATGGCCACACCCTAGAACAAAGGACAATATTAAAATGTACCAACAATATTAAAATACTCCAACAAAAGAGAAATTTAAACATAAAGGAATCAAAAAGGGCCTTCAGTGATTTAACTGCGCCAGAACAAAACTCAAACACTTTTGAAAACAAGACATAATCCAGACTCCCTACAATGTATTTTTCACAATATCCAGTATACAATGAAAACATTATGAGATTTAAAAAGAATCAGGGAAATGTGATATATAATCAAGAAAAAAAATCAGCCAATAGAAACAAATCCTAAAATGATCTTAGTATTGGAATTAGTAGACAAGTACTTGAAAGCAATTGTAAAAATTGTCTTCAAGGACATAAAGGAAAAGATTGTCATAATGCATGAGCAAATAGGGAATTTCAGCAGAGAAATGAAAACTATAAAACAGAAGGAAATTTAAAAACTAAAGTACAATATCCAAAATGAAAAACTTACTGGATGGGCATAATAGCAAATGGGAGACCATGAGAGGAAAAAATAATAGTTTTAAGGCATATCAATAGAAAGAAAAGATTTTTTTTTTATATGAAGAGATCCTCAGTGACCTGTGGGACAATATCAAATGCTAACATGCATGTATTTGGGGCCCAAGAGAAAGAAAGGAAAGAAAATGGGACAGGAGAAAATATTTGAAAAAATAATGGCTGAAAATGCATCAACTTACCTATAAAGTCAGTGAGTCCCAGGAGAATAAATCTAAAGTCAACAGTCTCTAGATACATTATAGATAATCAGCTGAAAATAAAATAATACAGAAAAAACATTTTTTAAAGCAATCAGCTTTTTATTTTTATTTTTATTTATTTATTTATTTTTTTTCTAAAAAGATGACCGGTAAGGGGATCTTAACCTTTGACTTGGTGTTGTCAGCACCACACTCAACCACTGAGCCAACCGGCCATCCCTGTATAGGATCCGAACCTGTGGCCTTGGTGTTGTCAGCACCGCACTCTCCCGAATGAGCCACGGGGCCGGCCCACAATCAGCTTTTTAAAAAGAAAAATTACTGCAGGGGACAAGAACACTAATGATAATTAACCTCTCATAAACCTTTTGGACTCATTTTCTTCTGAAAGCCAAAAGACAACAGGGCAATATCATTAAAATACTAAAAGGAAAAAAATATATATCAACTCCAAATTCTAAATCCAATGAAAATATCCTTCAAAAATGAAGGAGAGGGCCGGCCCGGTGGCGCACTGCTACAGTGCGCCGCTTGGGAAGTGCGGCGGCGCTCCCGCCGAAGGTTCGGATCCCACATACAGACCGGCCGCTCACTGGCTGAGCGAGGTGCGGGAGCAACACCAAGGGTTGCGATCCCGTTGCCGGTCCCGGTCCGGTATGGGCGCGACACTGAGGGTTGCGATCCGTTGCCAGTCACGAAAAAAGACAAAAAGAAAAAAAAGAAAAAAAGGAAAAAAAAAAAATGAAGGAGAAATAAAAACATTTCAGTTACATTAAAGCTAAGAGAATTTTTTTTTTTTACTAGCCAATCTGCACTATGGTAAATGCTGATGGAATTTATTCATGCTGAAAGGAATACCAGGACAAAATGAAGTACATCAGAAATTGTAAATGTATAAGTAAATATAAAAGACTACTGTTTTTTTTTTCTCTTAATTTCATTAAAAGACATCTGGCTGTTTAAGAAGAAAAATAATCATGAT